CCCGACCCTGCCATCACCAACCCTCGGCTCTCCCGCGGCGATGGGAGGCGGGGGTTGGGGTTCGGGCTTCGCCACGTGCTCGACGAGTCCCGAGCCCTGCTCCTGCCGCCCATCGAGAGCCACCCGAACCGTGCATCGGCGAGGGTGGGCCTCGGATGTCGCCGCCGCTCCGCCGCATCCGCCGTCGGGCGGGCGAGGTGCTGCTGGCCGTCTGGAGGGGTCCACTCCTGCGGGCCTCCCGCGGGGGACCTCCGCTGGGGGCTCTGGAGGCTTCGGACTGCGGGGCGGGCTTGTTGGATGAGAATACAGCTGCTCTCAGAGCGATCGTCGTCGTCGATCGTCGGTCGTCGACGACCATCGATCGTCGTCGACGTCGTCGACGACAGCGGCGGCGGCGACGACGACGATCCAACGCTCCCGAGATCCCCGACGATGCTTTTGTTCAGTCCTGGCCTCCCTAGCCTTCGCCCCCCCGGAGGCACGACGCTGTCGGGGCCTGGGACAGGCAACAAGCGCAGTCGGGGCGAAGAGCGGGGGCGGCAAAGAGGGGGGCGATGACTAGGTGGGGGGGGGATTTCATTGCGTGGGCCATGATTTTTCCTCAGATCTCATGGCAAGGCAAAGGTCCGATCGGACGCCTCAAAGCGTCACGCCCCACTCGTGAGGACGGCGAAACTGTTAAAAACAGGCCTGCCATGGCGAGCAACGCTGGCCTGCCATGGCGAGCAGCGCTGATCCCATGGCGCCTCTCCTTATGTCACTACGTCCCTGCCCCCCCCCCCCCTGGGGCCGCGCACATGCCGCCGCGGTCATGAGTTGCACCCCCCCCTCTTGGACGCCGCCCCTCTCGGCCGCTCCCGAAGCTTGGGCGCCCGGGGGCAGTGACCGCGAGGCATGTTGGGCGCCGCGTAAGGGGGGGGGTCATGAATGGGGGGGCGGCGAGCGTGGCCCGAAAAGGTGCCCAAACGGTACCTAAACGAGCCCCCTGGGGCTCCGGAGGGGCCCGAAAGGGGCACGAAAGGGGACCTTCTCGGACCCCCCCATTTGTGACCCCCCCATCAAGCCACGCCCAGGCCTGTGGCCGCGGAGCGAGCCCGCGCGCACGCCGCCGGACGCCCGGGCCCTCGGGAGCCTCCCGCGGCCCGCGGGAGAACGGGCCGCGGGTCGCCCGCTGTGCGCCTCCCGGGCCCGCCGACCCTCGGCAGGGCCTCGGCATCGCTCGGACGTGTGCGCTTTTTCCTCGGCGAGGGCCATCGTTCGATGCTCGTTTCGGGGACCTTCCTGGAGCCCACCTAACGGATCTGTTCGACCCCAGTTCGACTCAAGTTCGACTCAAGTTCGATTCAAGTTCGACCCAGGTTCGACCCAGGTTCGACTCAGGTTCGACTCAGGGTCGACCCAACTCGACTGACGTTCGACGCAGCTTCGACGCACGAGTGGGAGTGGCTCCAGGAAGGTCCCCAGAACGAGCATCCAATCCTTGATGACTTCGCGAAACAAACACGCACGAAACCGAGCAACAACACAGGGAGTGGACGCCCGAGCGACGGCCAGGGGCACCTCTCGATGCCTCCGATTCGAGTCCATTCGTTTCGACCCGACGTCGGCTTCCGCTTCGGTTCGACTTCGGATTCTCCGACGCGGGATGCGTTTTTTTCTCGACGGAGGCCCACTCGCCCGCTGGTGTCTGCCGAGCCGGCGTTTCCTGCCTCGGCGGCCGATCTCCGCCGATCCGATTTGCTTCGATCGCCGAGCCGACTTGTCGATTCGATTCTTGGCTCTTCTTACCAGCCTCGAACGTATTCCTATTCCTAGCATTGACACGCCAAAAGGCGATGACAATCTTAGGGATTCGCCCTCAAAAAATAAGGGAATCCCTAAGATTGGCATCGTGATGAGGAGGTGCCCAGCATAGGGATAGGGGATCTGAGGGTAGGCGATCTCCTGCCCTCAGAGATCCCCGACTGGTCCTCGTCCGTGCTGTCTGTCCTCGTCCCGCCTTCGCCCCATGCAGGGGTCGACTGCACGTCAGAGAGCGACCCTTCGCCGGAGTGACCTTCGGTGCGTACCCACCACAGGGGCCCCCCGATCGCTGACTGCGGTGCGAGATGGCAGCGGCCTCCGCGCTCGGATCTGGCCCCCTCGCGCCCCCCAGAGGCCACGCACCG